TCTGTTCTCCCCCCTGCCCCTCCTACCCTGCCCCCTGCCTCTGCTCCCTATGCCAGCTTTGTGTGCTGCCTGGGAGCTCCTGGGGCAGCCCCCTGTCCCTCCTATTCTTCCCCTGCCTCTTCCGTTCTCCCCCTGCCTCTCATGACGTCCCCCTGCCCCTCCTGCCCTCTCCCTGGCCCTGCTCACCCTCACAAGCTCTGCCTGCTCCCCTGAGCTCCTGGGGCAACCTTGCCTCTCCTGCCCTCTGCCCTGCCCCTCCTGCCTTGCCCCCTGCCTCTGCTCACCTGTACCAGCTCTGTGTGCTCCCTGGAGCTCCTGTGGCAGCTGCCTGACCCTTCTGCTCTCCCCCTGCCCCTGCTGTCCTTCCCCTGCCTCTGCTCACCTGTACCAGTTCTGTGTGCTCCCTGGGAGCTCCGGGGGACAACACTGCCCATCCTGCCCTCGCTCCTGCCCTCCTGCCCTCCCCCTGCCCCTTCTGTCCTGCCCCCTGCCCCTGCTCACCTGTACAGCTCTGTGTGCTCCCTGGGAGTTCCTGAGGCAACCCCTGCATCTCCTGCCCCTCCCCTGCTCCTGCTTACCCTCACAAGCTCTGCCTGCTCCCTGAGCCTCTGGGGCAGTCCTGCCTCTCTTGCCCTCGACCCTGCTCCTCCTGCCCTGTCCCCTGCCCCTGCTCACCTGTACCAGCTCTGTGTCTCCCAGGGAGCCCCTGGGACAGCCCTACCCCTCTTGCTCTCCCCCTGCCCCTGCTGCCCTCCCAGGAACCCTGCTCACCGGCAGAAGCTCTGCTGGCTCCCCTGAGCTCCTGGGGGAGCCCTGACTCTCCTGTCCTCCCCCCAGCCCCTCCTGCCCTGCCCCTACCCTCCAGTCTCCCCTGCCCTTCCTGCTTTTTCCCTGCCCCTCCTGCTCTCCCCCTGCCCCTCCTGCTCTCCCCCTGCTCCTCCTTCTCTCCCAACCCCCTGCTCATCCTCACAAGCTCTGCCTGGTCCCCTGAGCTCCTGGGGGTAGCCCTGCCTCTCCTGCTCTCCCCCTGCCACTCTTGCCCTGCCCCCTGCCCCTGCTCACCTGACCAGCTCTGTGTGCTCTCTGCTCTCCCCTTGCCCATCCTGCTCTCCCCCTACCTCTCCTGATCTCCCCCTGCCCCTCTTGCTCTCTCCCTGCCTCTCCTGCTCTCCCCTTGCCCCTCCTGCCCTGCCCCCTGCCCCTGCTCACCTGTACCAGCTCTGTGGGCTCCCCTGGAGTTCCCAGGGCAACACCCAGTCCCTCCTGCCCTGCCCCCTGCCCCTGCTCCCTGTACAAGTTTTGTGTTCTCCCTGGAGCTCCTGGGGCAGCCCCCTGTCCCTCCTGTTCTCCCCCTGCCCCTTCTGCTCGGCCCCTTCCCTGCTCACCTACACAAACTCCACCACTGGTCCTTGGAGCTAATGGACCACAGCTGCTTTCTGCCCTTGCTGCCCCATGACCTCTCCCCCACAGGCGAGCTCAGCCCGCAACTACTCTGTGTTCTTAGGGCTGCCCCGGTCTCAGCTGCCCATCCCACACTCCTTAGCCCAGGTTTGGCTCCTGACCGTCTGCCCCTGTGCTACTGTCTGGGTTCTGAGCGCACGGGAGCCCCTGCCAGCCCCTCGTGCTCTGTCCCCGCTCACGGGCTGTAGTCCAGGACCCCATGGCCAGCACCTCTGACCCTGGCCTGGGGCCAGAGCCAGCCCCAGTGTCCTGGACAGGACCCTCGGGCCATCTGGGGTCCTCTTCTTCCCCTGTGCTGGGCCGGCCTCTCCCTGTGCCCTCACCTTAGGCCTGTCTGTCCATGTCGGCCTTGGTCCTGCAGTAGCTCAGTCCAGCCCAGCCCTGGGCTCCCAGCACAGATGGCAAAGGGCAGGCCTCAGGCCCACCATGGCCATCATGTTCCTTGAAGGCCCAGTTGCCACGTCCGGTGCGTCCAGCAATGTTGGCGTGGGCGCTCCTGCCCATGCCTCCCTCGTCCCTGCCCTGGCCGGTGCCCTGGCCCCCCAGGCAGCCTGTGTCCCCCATGCTGGCTGCTCCGGCCCGTCCGTGGGGCCCCGTCTCTCCTTGGCTCCTGCGCTGCTTCTGCTGCCCCCACGCCGCCCTCTCTCCGTGCGGAGCCTACTCACCAAGGGCTGGGGCGACGGAAGGCTGGCCCCAGCACCTCGGCCCTCCTCGCTCTGGCCCCAGGCACATGTGGCTCCTTGTGGCTGAGCTCTGTGCCCATAGCCCCCTTCCTAGCCCCCAGGCAGCCGTGGGAAGACTAAG